AAAGCTAAGCTTTTCTTCTTTCCTTTATAGTTCATTTTTTTCCAGTAAACAGAACGAAACACTGTTAAAGTCACCATTTCACAAAGAATAAGAGCCCTTTAATGCAGCAAACGGTTTATAGCAAAACGACAGAAAGCATCCTCCCCATGCAGGGCTCCCCTTCAGGACAGGTAATGCCGGCTTCCCCAGCTGGCAGCTGCTTTCTAACAGGAACACAATCTCCAATGCTTTTGTACAGAAACACAACCAACTCGTTTTCTGAAGTTGGGTCATGTCCAAGCATATGAGATTCTTCAAGCATGAAATTCCACTTGACCCTATTAAGGCTTTCTCAGCATCAGATATGTACACTGCAGAGTGGATAATGTTCATAACTCATTTCACATTACCCCTGGGTAGTGCCAGTGGAGAAATCCTGTCTAGTCTAATGCAATCAGAGCTGTGAATACGAGGAAATTGAAACATCTGGCCAGGCTTCTCTGCTGTGCCCCGGGAGGTGCGACATGAGAGATTCAGGTCGGAAAGCTGGGGGACACAGGCCTCTCCCTGGGGAGCTGTGCGTGCACAGGACCGATTTCCCAGCAAGGTCACCCCCGGCACGAGGGTGTGTTGGCCGGGCGGGTCACCTCAGCTAATTCCTTATGCTACCGGAGTTCAGAGATGCAGCTACAGTTCATGCATGCTTGTCAGAGTGAGCCTGAGAGCAGGTGATCGGAGCACACATAACTGCACTGCTGCATGGTGGAGCTCTGTCTGGGCTAGCTGCATGAAAACTGGGACCCACTTGGCTGGTGTGGGGTACGGAGGGGGAAAGCCACCTATTGGGCTGGGTGCTGTGTGCTGCGGCAGACCCAAGGGCAGGGGCTCCCTCTCTGCCCCCATGCATCAGCCAGGGCTGGGTAGGACCACAGCCATGCCTCTCACAGTGTCTTGGGTCACAGAATCACCCCTTAACTGCATGTCCCTCCCGTCTCCATGTATAGTTAAGATCAGCTTAAAAGAGAGATGATTTCTTTTTCTCTCTTAGGACAGAGGTATAATCTCTATAATAATCTGGCAAATTTATTCTTTCAGTTTTATTTTTTCAATTTCTGTTTTTTGCAATGGTATTTTTGCCTACACTAGACAATTCTGCTCATATTCTTGTGGATTTTATCCTTTATGTTTATAAACATTTTCAGCTTCTTCATTTATAATTGCCATATGCAAAACTCGGGGTATTATTCTTCCATTTCTGTTTTTCTTAAAACACAAAACATTGCTTTGGTAGAGCAACACAAACATTAAATCCTAGAGCAGTCTGTTATTTCCTCCTCCAGAATTAGATATTTTTGCCAGAATTTCAGCTGTTGTGATAGAAACATTTCCTTCTGAGACTGATGAGACTTACTCGTGTGCCTTGAAAAGGAGGGGAGAGAGAAGAGGGCATGGTGACATCAGACTTCAGCTTTTAAAACCAATAAAATTTTTATCAGGTGTCTTCTAAACTGATGCTCTAGCATGGATTGATGAATAGATGTTTCTAGTCTGACATTTTCTAGCTCAGTGAATTTCAGTACAGAGGAGAACACAAACTTGGTCTCACACAGGAATCAGGATGGACAGAAAGGAAATGATTTGTAAAACTGTCCCCACCCCCAGGTTTTTGGGAATAAAGCCTTTGTCGTTATTGTTCAGCAGAAGTGGCAGTAGCTTACCTGGATGTGACGGCTTAGCTATATTTCCTTAATTAAAGCAGTTAAAATGTTTTTTTTTTCAGGAAGTGCCAGTGTGAGATATGTGTTTGGAAGGTATAAGAAACAGCTTTTCAGGATGCTTTTTTGAGGAATGTTTATAACCCCCTCTCCAGGTATACTTCCCTTCTCAAGACATCCTATTTTTTTTTTTTCTGTTATCACTGGCCATTCACCATGATGATTGATAACAACGTAAAAACAAACAGTTATTTAACCATTAAAAAAAAAAAACCTTTCAAAACAAGCCTTGAAGGATTGCTCACTTTGTATGAGCAGGGATAGGATTTTGCCAGGCTGTCAAAGCCAGAAATAACCTGCTTCCCTCTGTGCTGGAAGGACACAGCGATAGCTCCTGGGGCAGGACGTTGTGTGTGTTTGTCTGCTCAAAGCTACCGCTTCAGACATGGACCAAGCTGACACCACTTGATGGTTACCCTCATATAACATCCAGGACTGTACTTGATGGTTTTTGGGCTCAGTCCTGCTCTCTTTGGGCAACCAAAATATGCTCCCCTTCCTTGCTTGACACTCGTTGCTCAGCCAAGATGTGAAGGATTCTGACTCTGATTTAAACATGTGCATGAATCCATCATCCTCAAACACAAAAATCAGCAGGATGTAGCATATATTTAGCTACAATTTAAAGGCAGAACAATAATTAGCATTTGCTGCATCACTGTCCTGAAAAGGGATGCTTAGAGCTCACTTGGCAAAAATGATGAGATGAGCTGGTAACAGCCATGGGACTTCCCAGGGCATCAGAAACAGTGTGAAATGTAGGATCATCAGTGAGGCACTTTCTAGAACAAGGGACATTCCACTTTATTGTCTCTGCACCTCCTGCAGGGTTTCTCTTCCTTCTCTCCACTTAAATTAGCTAGCTGGAGCCTAGTGACCTCCACCTATTGTCCTGAAAGTTTCTTTCATTTTTATCTAAAACTTCCAGGGTTGACATTGTATCACTCAAGCTCTTTTACGAGAACTACCAAGTCAAGTACCCTTTGGAAGGCTACGTATATTCCCCTTCTCAGTGAAACTTGTATTTTTCTTAAGAAAGGCAACACCTGTTTGAAAAGTTCTATTTTTTTTTTTTCCATAAAACCATGTTTTCTGAGGTGACATCACCTTTCATCACTTCTTTTAGCTGCATCCTCTATCAGCTGCTTCATTATTTTTCCCTGGATTGATGTTGGGCTGAGAAGTCTATAATTATCCAGGTCATCTCATTTATCCCTGTTAAATATTGACGCTAAATATTTAATGTTAAACACTGATACTAATGGGTGAAATGCAGAATTTATGAATGTACCCGGTTCGTGGCCATAGAGCAGGCCGGGCAGGCTCACAGCCCTCCCTGCAGCCTGCAGCAAAGAGCCAGGGACCCGCGTGGGGAAAAGTCAGGGGCTTGCAAGGGGAGCTGGCTCCCGTGTAACCCCCCTCAGTCCCTGTTAGCCATTCTGCACACGCGCTGGCTTTTTGTTTTGACAGGGACTGAAAACTCTTTAGGAGTCATAACAACGGTGTCATTATTCCCAGATGAATCCATGGCTGTCTGTGGCGTTTCATGGTTTCAGGCACTTCTACTGAAATTTGGAGCAGAAGGCAGATTCCTTTCTGATCAGTGTCCCTGTGTGATAAATGTAGGGCTATTCATCAGCGGTGTTAGGAGACAGTTCATGAGTGAAGCAGCTGTAGTTACATCTATTTGGAAAGTGAAATCAGGTCCCATAGGTATCTACGTGTGGATGAAAAATAGCCAAGGGGTTTGTTGGCTTTATTGTAAGGTTTTCTCCTTTCGCATTTCCAGGTGTGTGCGTGTGAAGTGTCCGGCATCACCAAACAGGTGTTCTTCACTTCCCTGCCCTGTTTTTATTAGTATGTTTTTACTCTGATGACTCTTTTGGTGGCTATGCTGCCTGTTAGCCCAATTAAGGCAGTACTGAATCAGAAGGTCTGCTATCACCAGGTTGACCTATATCAGCCGGTTGTATTACTTTAATTTCTTCACATGACCTCTTGCTCTTGCATGACAGCCTTCTAGTAGGTGGATGTTTTGTAGTGGAAAGGTGCTGAGAGAGGAAGAAAAAATTGCCACTCACCTAGAATGCGAAGCATAAAAAGCTTTCCTAGAGCTGTCTGTTCTTAATTTCCTGTGCTGGGTCTGTTAGCAGCATTTCTGGTGAAAAGCCAATATGATGTGTTGCAGTTTCAAAACAAATGCCTCTTTATCCAGTAAGGTTATGTGTTCTTTCAGCTTTCCAAGCAATTCTACTAGGAAAGAAAAGAAAATCAAATGTCATTCTTCTCTTCTTTTTTGCTTTCATATTATTTTCCTCACTGTTGGAAGCAGAAAAAGAAGCTTAAAAAATCTTAACGCTTACAAAATAATAATAGTAATAGTATTATATAGAGATATCTTGCCTGTAAATCAGTGGTGACAGTCAACTTGGAGTCCCAGGGAAAAAAAACGCGCAAATGGCTTTATTGAAAATCAATGTGCATTTGTAAGTGAGGATTGTTTTTTAAATCCTTTGTGTTCATTGCTGGTTTTATAGTGATGACACTTGCAGTGAATGCTGCACCTTTGTTTCCAAGAGTTAGTCTGAAAGTGCTAGAGCAGGCAGCTGAATTTCCTCTCCTATTTTCTTTTTCCACCTGCAAAAACTGGCATTGTGCTTGAGTAAAAGGAACCTGCCTGACAAATGCCTTTGTAGATTACAATATTGCATGGAGTACAGGCACAGCAGACAAAGCCCAGCAGGACGTCATTCTCTGGGCATGGCTGGCAACCACCTCCCCGTGCCCCGTGGCTCATTGCACTAGCAGAGGACATAGTGTAAAGCAGGAAAGCGAGAAGAAAGCCTGGTGCCTGAGCTGCTGAGACACTTGCTCTATTTCCACACATGTGACACTTCTCATATGGTGGTGGCAGCAAGTTTTCCAGCAGCACTTTAAACCATTGCTGTCTCTGCTTGTTTGTTTTATGCAAAAAGAGAACAATATGCTTGTGCCTCAGCTGGCCTAGCGAGATCTGGCATAGCTGAAATGGACGTCAAAGGATTTGTACTAAAACACAGTCTGAGGTGGGAGAGCTGAGGTGTTGGCATTTGAGCTCTGCTCTGATCCTCTTGCAGAGGCAACAGCTTCGCACTCACGGGTGGTAAGAAGCAGGTGGAGGTGGCAGCCTGGCTAAACTGCTGCAGCTGTGTGCTCAGGGGCACCCACCGCAGCCCAAGGCCCTGGTGGCACCAGGTGTCAGAGGAGTAATTTAGGGATGGCACGGCTGAGTAGGTTTTTAGAGGCTCTGGGCATGTCTGGTGTTGCAGCTCCTAAGGCTGGATCTTCTAAGGAAAAGTAGGTCACTCATTGCTTCTAATTCAGTTTTGTATTTGTGCATTTCTGCTGTTTTTTGGACAAGGATTGTCCAGTAATTTCCACGTTGTTCTGTGGTGGTTTCTGTTATCTTCTAACCAAAATCTTGCCTGTCCCAGGGTCAAAGGAGAACAGATCTGTTACTGTGCTGTTCAAACCTGATGATCTGACTTTCAATTTTGGATAATATATTGCTTTGGCTTTCCACTCTTTCCTGTCCAAAACCATTTTTTCCCTGCTTTTCAATGACACTTCCATGAACTACAACTATTTTATTTTTAGTTTATGCAATCTGGTGGACTTTCAAGCTTGTTTTTCCTCAGTCAAGATCTCTGCTGTACAGTTAGTCCACTGACATGTACGTTATAAACTTCAGTTTTCTTGTGCCTGTCTATAGGCTACATATGTATGGGTGCAAATGCTAAATTACAGAACTGCTGTGATCAGGTTGTGTGCTCTATGCAGTTGCCAAGTGAGCCAGGCTAAGGAGCACTTCTGGAAACCGAGTAATAGAAATTGAGGAAAAAACATTTCATCTAGGGAGTGTGGTAATAGTCTGTCAAGAAAAAGGAACGATCTAACCTTTCCAAAAGATATGAAAACGCTGTCTATCTTAAGACTGCAGACTAAAACAGAGAGTGCTGTGCTTATTTGATTTTTGCCTGATTGTCTAAGTAGTCTCTCATTTATGCCATAAATCTACTTCCTTTATACTTCAACATTTTTGCACGTGTATATTATTACTTTATCTATTTTTTCATCTAGTCTTTACTACTATGTGTTAAAAGTATAGTTGAATACAAACCTGTAAACTAAGTTAAAACACCTGTTTCACCATCTGAATTACACTATGATGTATTAGTCCTAGGTAATATTTTTCCTGTCTTCTTGCATGTTAGTACACTTATACATTATGTATTGTGCACAGAAATGCTTTCTTAGGTTGTGACCTACTGATCTGATAAAATAAGACAAAAAGTAAAGCAAAATGTTTAATTAAATTGACTTGTCTTACCCTTAGTCATTTTATCTGAGTAGTTTCACATATAAAATGGAAGCTTTCTGTGGGCGCTGTGAAATTTCTCCAGAATTTCTGAGAAGAAAGGTAAAAATACCACATTGCTTTTCACCTAGTACATGAAATATAAAATACATTCTCAAAGCAGGCTATTGTTAATTACATTCTATCTTCTACACGGTGACTGAAAAGCGTATCATCTGCTGCTTAAAGAAAAGATTTTGGAAATTGCATTCTTTAGCTTCAGCAATAGCTCTATCAGCAAAGGAAATCTCTTTGAAAAGACAAGGGAATGAGAGAGAAAACAAAAAGAGATATAATCCTTGAAACGATATGCTGGAATCGTATTCTAGCTGCTTAAAAATATATGATTTCTAATAAAGGAAAAAATCAGAAAAAGTTTTCATGATCTACAGTCAAAGATATCACAGCTCGTTAGCACCTCTTCTCAGAGGAATGAATTAAGGAAGGCAGACATGTTTACCAAAGTGATGGACATGGTGTAAAAATACAGGGAAGAGGAAACCTACCAAAATGCAGTGAATGTGACCTACATTGGCTTTCAAGCTGTACAAAGAAAGTAGAAAGTTTCATGTAATATGACTGTTTAGCATGCTTGTGTTTGTAAATATATTGTTTCTCACTCAATGTACTGGAAAGAATTGGTGCTAAGGATGCAGCTGATGGTACTGTAGCTACCACTTCACCAAACAGGGAAACTTTCAAAAGCTCCTTTGTGGCTGAGATAGTCAGTACCATCTGATAATTGGCAGGACTTTGGATATATCTGTTCTGCATGATGCAATTACTTAAGCTAGCTGTAAATTAGGTAGATAAAATACCCAATCTTGACTGCAATAAATGAGATTTAAAAAAAAAAAAAAAAAAGTATGTGGAAAGCTACTTCATCCTGCTGGGCAAACAAAATGGTGCTTCTTTTATCAGTTAGCTGCTCTCTAGATATACCTGTAGCCTCCTAAACCACTTAGTACTTCTGAAAGTTTTTCCGCTACACTCATCAGTCATTTTATATGCTTTATAAAGCTATGCAATGGCTGTTTAATTATGCAAAGTGAAGGTATAATTAAATTTCACTGGAACTATAGGGATTTGAATATGATGAAATAAAATGGGTTTAGTTTTACAGGCTCAGTGAGCCACAGAGGAATTGCAAAGCCTTTTGATTTTCTTTTCTCATATCTATAATTCTCTCCAGGGGAATGGTGAGTTTGGGCCCAAGGTGGCTCTCTGTCTTTGTGACAGACAGTGTAGATGTAAACTCATGAAAATTGGATGTTTCCAAGCACAACTCAAAGATGAGATTTGTTTTTCTCTAGAAAAGCTGCCTGGGCTGTTAATGCACACATCTGGAAGTTTTTGGAACCTGGTATTGAGGACATTAGTAAAAGCAAAATAGTCAAAATAAGCAAATCCAAGATACAACTTTGAAAAATAGCAGCATGAAACTGGGTGGCTAGGTGGCGTTATATGCTGAGGCCATGTGCTTCTTCAGTTGTGAGGGCTGCAAGCTTGGCTTGAAAAAACAGGCCAAGGTGTATTGAAGGTGTGCTGGGGCGTGCTGGCTTTCCTCTGTGCTTCCAGTGACATTATTATAATCTTAAAATAAACAGAAGGGAGGAGAGATGTTTCGTGCAATTATGAATCAGCATCACAGTCCAAAGTCTGTGACACTACTGCATCCTATTGCAAAAGTGTTGTAAAACTGTATCATGCAATTTGTACTGCACAGGTGTAACGGCAATCTTATAATTTAGGTCATGACTCTTGCTTTTTATGGCTTGGTCTGTTTTTTAACTGTTGAACCTGAAGTTTTCAACCTCATGTCTGACTTGAATTCTTCTCTCTCTCTTCTTTTTTTTTTAACTTCAAGAAAGTTTGACAGTAATTCAGCCATTTCTAGAATGCACCTCAACTTTAAGATTCCTGGACAAGTGTCTTCTAAGCAAAAGACTTTGCAGAGTCATTTTATTGAGGAAAAGTGTTAGCCTCAAGTCTTAAAAAGGACGTTTAAAAATCCAGTAAAAAATGTGGAGTCAGAGGCCTTGTTTTACCTCACAAACCTCCCAGGGTTAACAACAGTTCGTGTTGAGAGGCCGGTCTGTGTGTGGTGCCTCAGTGAGGCGAGGGGCTCCTGAATGGCAGTGGGCTTCTAAGATTATGGATTTTCTCCTTAAAGCTCTAAATAATACATCTAGGATTTGTTTTTATCTGGATGTGTTCACAAAGACCCTGTAATCATATAAGCAAGTGCTCTGGAGTGGGTCTCTTGCAACACTTCGGGGAGGGATCCCAAAGAGCTGCCAAAGCACCGCTGTGTGGGCATGTCCTGCTTCTTTCAGAAAACACAGGTATTTCCTTATTCTAGGTATCATGATGATTTTAAATTAATGAGAATATTGGAGTGTGGTGTGGCCACAAATGAGGTAGTTTGGGATGTTTGATATGACGTTTTGAATAGCTTCAAGAGCTATCAAAATGGCAGCAGGTCTTTCTGCTATTCTGGCGCTTCACTCTGCAGTGTATTATCCCCACTGGTCTTCTCAGACTGTAGCGTGTTGACCTGCATGTCAAGAGGGAAAACAACAACAAAACAAACAAAAAAAACATGTTTTTAATTGTTGATGTCCTTGCAATGGGGAAAGGAGGAAGTCCTAATGGGTTCATCTGAATTTCATATTTGATACTACAGTCCTAGTCCTATATTTAACACTTAACCTTTCATACACTCACCTTCCTTCATAACTGCCTTTAGTTTTTTTTTCCACTCTTTATGTGAGAATACCTTGAGTAGCAGCAAGAATAGCTGCTGAATCGAACATTTAAAATGATTTCTGTCACCTTGCTAGTAAATCCAACATGCTACGCAGTTCTTTTAGCTTTTCGGAAATGTGATGTTATCTCATAACTTGAGCTAGCATATACAATAAAAGTGATGATATTTTCTGCCATATGATTAAACTGGGTGAAAAAAAAATCTTTGGGGCTTGTGTATGCATGAGCTAAAATTCCTGCAGGGAGCTTATGGCCAAGCTTGCAGATGACTAAATTGATTTGTTTTCAGAAGTGCTGAATGAGTATATAGCAAGACTTCCCACCTGGCTCTTGCTTGTCTGATTATTATTATTATTTCTAATATTTATAAATATATATATATATATTCTAGAATGTAGAGCAGATCCTTATTAATGTTTTCTTCTCTCTCTGGGCAAGATAACTGAGGGTGACCTTACAAAAGACTCGTCTTTCATTTCTATGAAAAGAGCTTGTCTACCAAGGAAATAACTTGGCTTGAAGAATTGTGATTGCATTTAAATGAGACTCCACAGGAGAACTAAAAAGAAATATTTAAAGCAGAATAAGTACAAGCTATTGAACTTAAAACCATAATAAAAATGGTTTGTCTGCAACTGTTTTCATTCATACTGCCCAAATATGCTTGTTACAATGCTGTATATTTGTGTAGGTGAAATCTGTAGACTGGCATAGGCAAGGGAGTTGGTCTTGCCTCGTCCCTTTACCCCACCAGCATTTTTCTGGTGCCCTTGTTTGTGTTATGCCTTGTGAAAGGGAGTAGAAAACTTGTGGTAGTGCTGGTTGCAGGGTGAGATGAGAGAACTCTTTCTGTTGTATTGGAGCGTGTGCTGGGGTACATAAAACCTGAATGGTTTATGTCTTGCGTTAGAAGTGTCATATGGGGTGGAAACCAGAATCAGCAGTGGGCAAGGTACCTGCTCTTTTCTATGCTCTCTGAAGAAAGAGAAAAATCAATGATAAGCTCTGGTACATACACTTAACAGAATACAGACTGAGATGTTTGATGACATGAAAGCATATCTTTATAAAGTCAGAATGCATTTCTGGTTTCGCTGGTGGGTACCACTAAAGGCTTTATACTAATGCTGTTATTGGGGGCAGCTGCATTATAGCACTATTTACTTATTTA